TTCTAGCCAGCTTTGTTGCAATGGCAACAAGAGATTGAGCACTCGTCTTCCTCCCTTGCTATTGCTCCCATCACTAATTATGTTCGCTGTTTCATCTGAAGCTAAACGACCGTTTTAATTAATCCAGTTTCACGTTCTGGCCACTGGATCTTGTCATGTCTTTCTCTACAAGGTCAAAGGCCTCCTAACACCTATCATTTTCTCTCCATGAAGGGACTTACTACACCAGTCACATTTTAGTCTTCCTTTAGGTATTCTAAGCAGACTGTGGTCTTTAAATTTATCAAGACTAGATATTTCCCCCAGTTCATCAATCATTTCAGTGGTTCTTTTCCCTACCTTTGCCAATTTTTAAACACTCTTTTCAAATGTGGATGCCAGGTCTGGATGCAGCATTCCAAAGTAAAATTACCTCCTTACTCCAACTCACTGTTTTCCTGATTCTTTGTTCAAGGGGTAGATTAGCGCTTTTGGTTACAACATTGCTTTGACAACTCTTGTTTGACTGTGTATCCACTCAGGCACCTAAATTTATAGGTCAAAGGTTGGACTTGATGATCTTGAAAGTCTTTGCCAATCTAAATTATTCTGTGATTCTGTGAAATTCTACTCCCCTCTCCTATATATGATACCAACTTCCATCAGATCTCTTTAAGGAAAGATTAAGAAGTGTTTCCAAAACACATTACAAATACACAGTGAAGACCTCAAGCCTTTTGCAACATGTGGAGCAGAAGGCACATGAAACTGCTCCTCAAGCCCTCGGTTTCCTTCTCGCTGGCCCACTGCAATAACCCTTGCCCCATATTTTAATACTGAATTCAGTGTGTTTGACACAACCCTGGAATGTCCAGTGTATACAGATTTAGGAACTGGAGGATCTGTGAGGAATGAAGTTCATGACAGCTGGATAAAGGAAGATCTGGAGCTGTGAGTAGACAGAAGAGTTGAAGTCCATTTCGGGTTTCTGCAGCCTATGCTCAACTAAGGCTCACAATAGCAGGGGCAGGGTGTTACTCCTAAATCCCTTCTTCTCTTAGATAGAAGCAGATGTTACATTATTTTTGTGCAGGAACAGATACTATATTACTCAAGTTCTATACAGCAAATCAGCTACTTTGGCTCCTTACTTCACACACAGGTCCTTGCCCACTGATCATTCACATGAAACAAAGTCCAGTTGCAGTTCTAGAAACAGACAGGCACCTATTACTCCCTTTGGGCAGCATCCAAGGCTGCTTCTCTTTGCTTTACCAACCAAAACCCAGCAGCTGTTGCACCCTCAAGTACCTCTATAGCACTCAAACCATAGCAGTATACACCCTCAATGCCATGCTGAAAAATACCACGTTAGGGATTTCAACTTATTTCAAGCAATTTGAACAGGAAAAAAAAATTACGCATGAGGGTGTCAGGAAGACTACTAAAACAGAATCTAGGACCTAGGGAATATTGGATGCCAGAGTGACACACGTGGCCAGGAGCAGTCTGATCTTGGGGGGCCACCCAAGCAAATTTGAGCCTTCAAGTATTGTTTGGTGGGGGACCCTAAAGCAGATGCTTTGGGGCGCTGGCTATTTAATTTTTACCATTTTCAGAGAAAAGGTGCTAAAGTGACAAGTAGCCATATGCCTTCTTTTCCCCCACAAATGTCAGTTCTGAAGCTTCATGACAGTACTAAAGAGATGCTCTGGGGTCAATCTGGCTTGTTCAACCTCACTAGTAACCAAAACTCACGGTCAAACTCTTTCTTTGTTCTTTCTCAGCCCACCCCAGGGCTGTCACTGAAGAGAAATGGGGATAAGAGAGGAAAGCAGGGATACTGATGGTGTATGAGCCACAGCAAAGTCCAGCTCACACACTCAGAGAGCTATGCCAGCTCAGCAATACTAAAATGCAAAAAAAAAAAAAAAAAAAAAAGAGAGAAACTTTTATTTCATCTAGGAGTAGCAGCTCCAGCAATCAGTACACTTGGTAAGTAGGGATGTACTCTTCTTCCAATCTTTTTCTATGTAAAATCATAACAAGGCACCTGGCTTTCAGCTCCTCAGCACCTATACAGTAAGGCAACATGGTGCTGCATCCCCCTTTACTCTTACAGAGGGTTGAAAACCTGATAGCACTGCTTCTGGTCCAAAGAGGCAAAGTATTCCATTCTTGATTTTTTGATGGAAAAAAAATTGGAAATACCTTCCCTATGAAATATTGGGGGATTTCTATGCTTTTTTTCCCCCTAAAAGAGCATTTTCATTGTCAGATCCAAGAGGAAGGTTCATATGCCCCCTGCAAGACTTACTACCTGTAGGAACCACCCTAATTTAGACCCTGCGTCAAGGTGGTGCTGAGAAGGGAGCAGGGCCTCCTAGGAGTGCTCCTAAATTGTGCCACAGGGTTTCAAAGCAATGTGGCCTTCCACAGGCTGCCAGCAAGAGCATCAGCAACCAGCAGCACAAAACTGGAACACGCTGCTCTAAACCTCCTGTTTTATGATAACTCCAAGAAACACAGATCTGACATACCCAGCAAGTATGAGTTATGTGCTAGGCTCTTCAGAATAGGCACACCAAATTTCACCCCGGCAAGAAAAAGGGAAATAAAAAAGGATGCCGACCCTAGCTAAGGCTGAACACTCTGCAACACCACTTAGCAACAGCTTACTGGAAAATCACAAGTAAGGGCATTTTAGTCAATAAATGCTTCAAAACGAAGGATATTCACCCTCTTCTCCACATCTGTTGCTTTCGAAACCCGGTGTTTCTCTGCATGGCTCACCTTGCACTTAGATAGGTATTTATTTTTGTAAATCACAAGATCCAAGGCCCCAGGCCTAGCAGGGCTGGGGTACCTGGCCACATCAATCCACACGCAGCAAGGATGTGAGGTAGCCCAGTACTAAGTGTGGCACGAGGGTCACGCCAGGAAGGATGAGTGATCCCCACTCCTGGCTGGCCACAGCAACTTAAACCCTAGGTAAGGCTTGGCCTGACTCCTTTTTGCTGTTTTCCTGCTGCAGCTGTACAGCATCATTCATTCCATGGTCCTCACAATACCCCTGGGGTAAGGAGGTAGCCTCAATGGCGAGGTTTGAAAACCAAGGGGCAGATTCTTGGCTGGTGCAAGTCAGCACAGCTTCACTGCAGGCCAAGGAGCTACCATAATTCACCTAAAAAAAGATCTGGCACAGAGAGGCAAAAAGATGCATTGCAGCCACTCTGCAGGTCACTGGGTATGGAGTTTGGGCATCCTGGCTTCCCAGTCCAACAGTACTGGTGACATAGCTGGAAATGTCATACATGGCAGTAAGTCTTGCTCCAGTCAGCTGAACAATGAAGAAAGAGGACCAGTTCTCAGAGCCAGCAAAAGGTTTTCCACTTCCCTCAGTATCTAAAATTCACTGTCTTCTCTTTTCAGCAGCAATGCCATCAGTTTTTGGTGCCCTTCCCCTTTGGTCACCGGAGGATGCCAGGCGGGCAAAGGCTCTGCCACTCAGCAGTTGTGTCTGCAGTGGGTGACATTCTGGTATTTGCCCACTCACCACTGGGTAGACCCTTTAGCTATGGTGTGAAGGCCAAGAAAAACCATGATGGTCCTCACAGGGCATGGGCTCAGTTCCCCAGACGTCAGAAAAATCTCACGTGTGCCCAAATCGAACTTATATTCATAGGTGAAGGCCCTATTGAGGGGCTTTTGAGGGTATATTCAGGGAAGCTGCAGAAAAGCCACACACAGTGCAGACTTAGATAGACAGAGCAGGCACTTCAGCTGGAGACCTCTGGGCAGCCATCAGACATGCCGCCTGTATCAGGTACATTTCCATAGCTTTTACTGTAGCTTAACAATTGTGTCTGAGACAAAGGAGAAGGCACACTGTACAGGAAAAAAAAATCCCAAAATGATACCCTTTTATTTTTAAAGCTCTGATGAAACAACTTTCCAAATGACATCCCACTTAAAAACCAATGGAAACCAACCTAACTATATGTCAGTCACACTATACAGATTGCATCCTACATTTTCAAGATGCCTTCAAGATATCTTCTGTAGTATTTACAAATATATCAGTTAGGTAGTAAAGGTTCATTGCAATTTGTTTCTTTCCAGCACACAGTTACTCAATGGCAAAAAAAGTCTTGGGGATGCATTTGCATTTTTGTACAACACTTTTGAGCAAATGGCTAGGGCAATTTTCCTGAGAGAAGGCTTGTTCTTTGAAACTCTTGCTTTAACAACTGGAAATACAGAAAGTGGATGCATTTTTGTTGAGCTAAAAAGCCTAAGGATGCCTAGTTAAGTTTTTCTTTTAAATTACTTACGTACCATTAAGTTAAAATGTTTACATTCATTCGTATAAAAACCGTTGTTAAATCTTATGCAAATGATTTAACACTGATTGCTGCAACGCAAATTGCACTTCTTTAAAAAAATTATTGTATATATGGAAGAAAAATATCTGATTGCTACCCTGTTTACAAATTTCGACTGACTCTATACAGTTCAGCCAGAAAATACGAACTTTCATAAATCTCAGTCACAGTGTACTTTAAAAGTTATATCGTAGTCTTGCAAAGTGAGTAAATATCTTAAACCAGGAAAAAACCAACCCCAAAATCTCCTTAACCAGCTGGACCTTGTGGGACTTGTACCAAACATTGTGATTTCTTCCAGGGGCATAGCTGGGCTCTGAGGAGCAGAGCAAGGCACACTGAAGACGGAGGGCAAAGGAGGAAAGAGGTCTGACAGGGCGAAGATATCAAATGTTCAGTGCAAGAAGTCTGTGCCGACTCAAGCCACACGCACTTCTGTCACTCATTAAAAAGTATCTCACTATCTCTGGTAATTAAAGTCTTTGCTACTTCCTCCCCGACAATGATGGCTTCCACCAAATTCTTAGGGGAAAAGGCGATGAGAGAGTGAAAACAACTATGCAATCAGAAAGGCAGCGCTGCTGGGTAAGTTGAAGATGTATTTCTGGAACCCGTCAATAGGTCTAGGTCTATATGTTCTTTTTTTTTTTCTTTTTCTTTTTTTTCTTTTTCTTTTTTTTTTAATTTGTTTTGGGGGTTATGAGGGTTTTTTTGAGATTGTAAGGCTGCATTAGCTATCCTCTGGTGGTCATTTACTTTCCCTATATTTTTCTTGCATAGATGAGGAACTGGATGCTTTGGCAGAGCCTCTTTCAGAGGTTGAAAAACACCTCTGCCACCAAGGCTCAAAAACTATTTCAGAGGAATGGTCTTTGCCAGCACTCTTGCTTCGGCTGCAACCGCTCCACAGGAGAAACTGTGTGTGGACGTCTGGGGACTGCCGTGCAGCACCAGGATCCAGCTTCCCTCACATCAGGTCATGCCAGAGCCAGGGCACACCAGGGATCCTGTCTCACAGATGCTGTCACTTCAGCCGTGGAGGTCAGGCTGACTCCTGTGTATAGCCCATCTTGACCTGAATACTTAAGATTGCTGCTTTCGGGACTGGTGCTCTCTCCTGGGCCAGACATCACTGATGAGCTCGCCTGGAGGGAGGGAAAGAACAAAGAGAGAGGCATTGAGCAGGTGAGCTTTGCACACACCGGGCGTGAGTGAGAGCACAGCAGGCCCAGGGCACAGCCATTATCCCAGGATTTCTGCAGAAAAACAGGGTTTGCCCTCTGCTTGCCCCTGTGCCTCCAAATCCTGAAAAAAACCATGTGTCAGCATCAGCCCAGTCACTGAACCCTGTTGATGGGAGAGATATCTGTGTTTGGAGAGGTGGAAAAGAAAGCACGTGAAGCACACAAAACCCTGGAAATCAGACCGTGGTGAAGAAGCCCGTGTGTGTGTGTGTGTGTGTGTGTGTGTGTGTGTGTGTGTGTGTGTGTCCCGCTGCCCCCTACTGAAGAGACATAAGTGACAACACCAAAAATGTGATCTGGGAGTGGTGGCACCTGTAGTTTTTCTTCCACAATTGGAGAAGCCTGATACATCCCAATTCTCCAGCAGTACATATGGAACACCTCCTGGAAATCAGCCTTCTTTGGGTCCCTCAGACCCTGAAATGCCTAAAATCATTCCTCACCCTTCAAAATGCTAGCCACGACCACTTCATCCCTGGACACTAAAGGAGATGCTCTTTAATCTCCGGTGGAGAAACACTATGCCTTTGAAGCAGGAGCCTTTTTGTTCTGCTGCCTATACAAGATAATGTGCAGGGGAGCCCTGGTAGGCACGAAGATGAACCTCTGAACTGCACTGGAACCAGTCCATTTATTTTCACAGAGAAATGGAGAGTTACAAAGACAAAGGAACAATCATTTTTTCCATGAGTCTGAGCAGACCTACTAAAGAGGAAAAATTCACTGTGCCAGACAGAGAAGGGGCAACATTTTCACCTGATAAAGGAAATGTTTAAGAGCTGACTTCATGCAAAATTAACCCTTGGATATGTCAACTTTAAAACCTTAATTTACTTGTTAATGGATAGCCTTCAGATGAAATTCCTTAAAAAAAACCTAGGCTATCCTAAACTGTGACTGCAGAAGCTTCCTGCCTGCTGTTTAAGTGAAAAGTATACATATTTAATCATTTTACAAGAGTAGAGCTCTTGGCTCTCCTGGACCTGTGCCAAGCTAGCAGTCCTGACACAGAAAAAGCAAGGTTTCATTTATTCAAAGGTAATTTCCAAATGGTGTAGTGCATGATTCTTTTTGCCATGCTTAACCCAAGGAAAACCTCACCTTCTGAAAGAGATTCTCACTGTTAGCAGTAATTTTTTTCTGAAATAACACAGACTGCAATATTTTCTTTAGCTTTCATTAAAATGACTGACAGCCACTACTCTTCCACCCAGACATCAACCCCAATCCCACTCCACTAGTCACTACCCAGAAACGCAGAGAAGGAAGGAAAAACTGCCTGTCCTCCAAAACCAGTCAAATAGCTCTCTCAAATATACAATTGCCAACCAATGATGATGAATCTCTGTATTCTCTTTCCCTGTGACTGTGCATGGAGAATTCAATGAGGCAGGTTCCATGTCATCCTTTTCATCTGGTTTTGGTCTTGCACCAGCCTACCCTTCCAAAGCCTTTTTTTTTTTTATTTCTAATACAACAAATAGACTTCTGTCAGCACAAAATACATAATTTTTAACAGCTTCAGAGTTGTCTCCCCACCTTGGAAGAAGGATTTAAATTAGTGTTGAGCAGTGTTTGCTCAACTTGAGCTAAAAATACTTAAGAGCTGCTTTGAAAGGTTCTCGTTTGCCCGTATTTGCCACTGTTGTTCCGGTAGGCAAATACCTTATCAGTACCCGTTTTTTTCCAGGCTTGCAAAGTGTAATTCAGTCTTTTCCTGATTCAGCCCTACAAAGGTGGCATGCATGGACCCACAGTTTCCACGTGGGATTATCAGGTACCCCTCCCTCGGGCACGCCAGAAGGGAGGACATGGAGGCACGTCCTGTTTGAAGACTGCCCATCCCTGCCCAACCAAGGCCGGATCCTGGCTCTGTTGAGCCAGAACGGGCAGGACCTGGGCAGGACTGCCAGGCCTGGAAACCCCACCCCGGTAATGTCATGACAAATCCAGGCAACTTGGGCAGCTCCCAAAGTGAGACATGGAAAACAAACTTTAGCTCATGAAAAGGGACGTGACTGAATCATGGCTCTGTTTCTGAACCTTCCTACCTCTACTTTTACTTCTCCAGCGTTAAGGGATGGAAGATGACAGAAGTTGCACTTAGTTATTAGAAGACATTTGTCACCTAGAATAAATAAACTGAACAATGCTGCTGAAGTCAACAAGATCTAATTCACAACAACTGGCTCTATCAGTAAAAAGGTAATGCATTTCTTTTCATTGTTGAAATCTGGTGATAGAATAGGTAATCAATTGCTGGTCAGCTTCCTGAGGAAAAAAAGAATGAAGCCCATTGGGAAGACACTGCCTCTCAAACAAACTGGAAGGTTGTGTTTGTATCTGCAAAGATTCTTTTTATCCAACCAGCGGGAGCTGGTCAGGAGTCATTCCCCCGGAAGGTTGTCCAGATCAGAGGACGTGCCCACCATGTGCACAGGGAGACTTCTGCTAGAGCCACAGAGGGACTCAGACACCTAGATCATACCCAAACCTGCTGTCAGCACCTTGGAGCTGAATTTATCCCTACTGAAGCTGCTCCAGATCAACACCAGGCTGCTCAGCCTGTGCTGGTCAACATCAGCAGCTCTGGCTGAAAGAGTCCTGCTTTCTTCCGTCTGCTCCTTTCTACACCACCTGCCCACCACAGAAAGTAGGGAGAGAAGAGAGACTCTTTTCCCTGTGGCTTTCTCCCACACCTCCACAGGCAAGAGGGAAATGCTCTGGGCAAGGATAGCTGGAGGGGGTGGTGAAGGGCCTTGATCCAGACCTTTGCACTACCAGATAGACCTCTGCTCTATCCATTTCACAGGTTCAAAATGCTCCATGAATTTTGGACATTACACTAAGTCTGTAATAAGCAGAGTCTCAGCTGAGACTCTCTTCCTCCTCAGTTAGCCTAGTTTAGTTTTGCTACACTTAAATGATAACCATAGTCAGCCAAAACACATTTGCAAAGACTGCTTTCGCACATAAGATGCTGTGCCAAACAGTGGAGTTCCTAATTTTCCAGCCTCAGCCTCCCTGCAATAACTGCCATCCTCATCAGGAGCACATTTTCCCAATACTGTCACTCCCTGGTTTCTGAAGAGCAAGTCTCAGCACTGCAAAATGACCGGTTTTTTTTCTCATGTAACGACCCTCTTAGTACACAAAATTGTCATTTCTCATTAGTCCAGTTGATCCTTTTGTTTATACGGCAGACGTGTAAGTTTACATATCTTCTAATCTCTCCTTTGTATTATAGCAACATAAATCTGTGGTTAATACTTCATTAATTTCCTAAGGGAGGCAACTTCCAGCATGGCTTGGAAAACTGATGACCCCACTGCTGTCAAGGGCTGTATGAGTAACTGACTTTATTGCTTTGGCAATAAAACAAAACCAAGCAAAAGGTATGTGTCCATATGCATATAGAATTTTGGGGTAGAAGGAAAAATACTTTTTCCTTGTTTTTCCCTACTGAAACAAAAAGGATGGATTGCTTCCTTCTGTTTCATACAAAAATGAAATGCTCTCTTTTGGATACAAGTACACAGAGCAAAGAAAATTAATGACTCCATGTATGAAACTGGGGGGGAATAAAGTAGCTTCCCATTTTGTTCAGGAGTGAGGACTAATGCAGAAGAGGTAGGAGACCAAGAAAGATTTAAATTAGAGTGTCAGATCTCCCACAATGCCCTGTCTACCACACTATTTGGTATGGTTGCCATGTTCCTCATAACTCCTCTTGATCTTATTCCACCTGGTTTAGATAAATATTTATTCATACCAGGACTGAGGCACCGTGTTCCCATTTTCCAGATGAAAGTCCTACCAACCATGCTGATGAGTCTTTCTCGTGGCAACTGTCTCAATGGCTACAAAATTATCCTATAACAATTGAAATCTTATCGTCAGATAATCTGAAGAGGACATTCAACTTTCCAGTATCCAGGTGGCTAGTACATTGTTTTAAGAGATCGAGTCTCTGGTTCATCCAGACTCTGGGACATACTGCCTGGAGCCTGATTCCCCTGCATGAATGTCCTACCCACTTGCTGCCTGAACAGGAGCTAACAATACCATCTCTAACCAGATAACGAATCTTCTTCTGAAAACAAAAGAAAGCAAATACAGGAGAAGCTGTCCAGATAATCCAGCCCCATCTGTTCGGCGTTTTGGGGACAGTTAAAACTGTGTTTTCCTCCTAGCTCACCACCTGCCAAGGCCATCTCAGTCAGCTCTCTTACTTCCCACCCTAAAACACCAAAGAGCCAATCCTCTTTGGTCTTGGAGGTTGAGTAAACCTCCAAGGGAAGTAAGTACTTGTTTTACCTCCTATGTTATTCTGTGGTGTGTGATTATGGTCCTTCTGAGAAAGCTCCAAACTGGAGGCAAAGGACAGAGGAAAGACTTCTCAACGAAGAGCTCCCCTGGTGCTGCTGAGCCTTTCCTGACATCAGGCCTGGCTCAAGGAACCTCCATGTCCTGCCATAAAAAGCAGATTTTACAGCAGGTTTCATACTGCCTTTTATCCTAATAAGGGAATAAAGTCCTTCTGGTTATCACAGTTGTTGGAGCTCCTGCATGGAAATGGACAGGTTTGCACTACAGACCATGTCCTTTGTTTAGTTACTTATTTGTTGGAACTTTTCTCTGTACAGTTTCAGCAGCATCAAAGGGAGACCAGGTATAGATGCAGATGCAGACTGCCTAAAACCTTCAAATCTTTTTACAGGGATGTAAAGCAACTTCATATATCATGCAGCTGGACCCTTTCCATATTAGTAACACAGGACACCCAGTACTTATACTTCTTAGGAAAACAGAAATGGGCTTAAATCCTAGATCCAGATGTGAATTTGGCAAATAGTCCCTTTACAATGGAACAACAAAATGTCTCCGATCCAAACACTTCTATACTTTTGGATGTTTGAAATCAACTTTGCCCTCACAAAAATTAATTAATCATATCTTTTAAATGTTTAAACTTCAGTTAGAATGTAAAATCAACATTTAAGGTTCTTGCTAATTTGTCTCAAAATTGGCATCATGTAAGATTCCCTCCATGAAATGGATATTCTCAAAGACATCGTCAAGAGTAATTGCTGCCCTTCTCTTTTTCTGCCCTCTCTTCTTTATTTTACTTTAAGAGAGATAAAGAAAGGTAGGGCAAAAAGTGAATGTTACTGACACAAATGAATTCTGCTGAATTTCATTTCCATTAGATTTCTACATAACTGGAAACTTTTTTGGCAGCCTCCCATAAAAGGCATAATAAATTGCTTTTGTACCAGTACAGGAATTCATTTCTCTGTTTCATTTAGCAACAATATTGCTGTGAATTTCACACAACAGTTTCTAAAACGTCATCAGATTTCTCTGCCTAATGTCAACCTGGCATTTTTCCCCTCTTCACAGAATAAAGGCTAGAGAAGTGAAAACAGAGCAAAACAAAAACAAGTTGCCATGCCTGTTGTGTAACGTGGGGAATGAGCCAGGTTTTCTCTTTCCAGCAGGTGCCCGTGTTTTGGCTATGTCACCAGGACCAGTAACTGGAAATCAATGCTGGTCTTGTTAAAGTGACCAAAGATTACAGAGGGTTTTTTCCCTCCTGACATAACCTGGAGAAGTTTATTCTCCTTGTGCAAAGCCATTGCCTATTCTAGGAATAATTACAAACCTTTGACCTATCAATGGATCAACTCAAAAGGGAAAAATAAAAATAATCAAGGAAAACAGAAGTCTAGTAGAGTATCTTTACTTCAGCATGTGATCAGATTACAGGCTGCCTCACTCTAAAATGCTGACACCCCTTTACTTAGGACAACTTCAATGGGCTTTATGAGTGCTCAGTCCCTTTCATGGGATTTAGGTCCCTAAGAAATTATTTTGCATGCTTTGCAGTCAAATTATGTCTGGAGCAATAGGATCCAGTCTTAACAGCCACCTCCTTCTAATTTCAACCTCCAGTCTTCCCGATCCTCAGTGCTTTGAATTACAGATTCTTGGGCAAAGCCAGGAGCTCAAGTGAAGAACATGAAGACGTCTTCATTTACATAGTTACAGGGCTGGGGCGGAGGAGTGGGAGATCAATAGCCCTTCACACAGTTTGGGAGGGAGTCTGGGGGATGCCCATATATTGGGTTGCTGCTGCAAATTCCCCTCTTCAGTGTGGCATAGCCTCTGTCCATTACTTCCTTGCATTGAAATTTTATACGACAGGGAGGGTATTTGCAAATGCTTTGCATATGCAAGGCACATCTGATCAAATCGTGGTGAGGAAAAAGCTGTGCAGGTTTTATACCCACAAAACTCCACACAGCAGAATCATATTAAAAATGGTACTATTACAATTCTAACATAAAGATTATTAATAACATGTTTGATATACTTTTCTAGGGAGAAGGACTACAGAAAGGAAGTCAGGCTTTAGCCAGCCGAGAAGGCAACAGCACAGTGGAAATGGGATCTCATCTGTATGGCCTCTCCTTTCCCAGGCAGCACGTGGCCGTGCTGCCACAGCCTACACCACTGCCTTGGTCTCAGCTGGGATTGTGCCTCCATTTCTACCCATTATATAAATCTCAACATATTGCTCAGGGTCACTGGTACCGTTTAAGGTAATGTAAGGAAAATTTAAGGAAAATTTGGCTACATTTTTTCCTTTGCAAATATTAGGGGAGAGCCTAAAATAGTGTGTAGTAGTTCACTGGGGAAGTCTGGAACTCATTCTGAAACTGAAACAGTTCACTTTTCAGTTGGTCTTTCTCTTTCTTTGATGTGATGTGTTTATTTTATTGGATTGACAGGGTTTTCTCATGTCAAAGACAAGCCCTTTTAGTAATATCCTAGTCTCATAGGATCCAAACCCCAAACCCAGTGCCCCTGAAATTGGGTGGCCCCGTCAGTCCACAAACAATCACATTTACTAAAAAATGGGTTTTTTCTTCCCCTTGTACAATGAAACTTTGCACATCAGAAACTAAACTATTGAAAGTAATTTGGATGTTGGGAACGCCAAGACATTGAAAAATAGTTATCATAAACAATGTCTTCATCTTATTAATAAAGAGCTACAGAAAGCCACATTAGGAAAGCTTTTCAAAGAAATTGTGTGGCAGATTAAGGGATACAGAAGGTTGAGAAGTGAGTGTGGATACAGATAAGTCTAGCCAAGGGGTTAGAAAATAATCTACATGAAGCTTCACAACTTTAGCAGTAGTATTTATCCCACATGCTAACTGAGTAAGAAAGGAAGTTGAGATGGTTAGAGTACAAGACATAAAATAGAAACTAAAGCAGGGGATGATCAGCAGTCCTCTGGTGCCACTCTGGAGCTCAGTGCTGCCAGATGCTGAGCATGTGACCCCTGAGGAGCTGTCTGTGGGGAGAGGGCTGAACCACTGTGCACTGCAATCAGCAGGGCACTTCAGCCTGATTTCAGCCGGGTCTGGATTGAGATTTAGTCACACATTTTAGTTTTACAAAAAAGCTTTTATGATTTGCTTCATACAGCAGGACAACATTTAGCTGGGGTTTACCAGGTATTCAGGATAATGAGTAAAAATGCATATATATATATATATATATATATATGAAATAGCTTTTGAAAAACATGCAGCAGTGCCTGGAACTATAAATTCTTATCAAATCATATCAGAAAAAAAGGGGTACATGCACAATTGTTTCTTGAAAGGATCGGCTGGGCATGATTTATTGTCTTCCCTCCTAAAGAAAACCTTTGAAATTAAAGAACCTGAACATCTCGAAACAAAATGTCTGGGGTTAAGCTGTGGCTAACTTAATCATAACAATTATATAGATCTTAATAAAGAGGTTTGTAAAGTACTTCAGCTTGTCGCTCTGTTTACAGCTATATGTGATATCCTCTGAAAATCTTGTTCCAGTATCAGCTAACAAAACTGGAAAGTTTATTTAGATTATTGTTATGCTAGATAAGATAAAAGCTGTGATAACACTGTGCAGTGATCAGCCTGCTTACAGATACAGACACTTACCCCAGAGGCTGCAGTCTGTGCACTGGGAGAAGCAGTTTTGCTACAGTCATCTGAGTTAGTAGAAGATGTGGATGTTGGAGTCATAGGAACTGCAGTAGTACTGGTACCTGAAAGATTGGGAATTGGTATTAAAAAGAAATATTTTCCAGCCAGGGAAGAAACAAAACCCCTGAAAATAAACAAAAAAACCCGAAACAACTATAAACTACTGCCATTACACTTTCTTCTCTTTTTATATTTACCAGAGCATGCCTTTGATTTATTTATGTTCTTAGGTTTTCTCTTCCTCGTCTGAATTCCTTCTTTTTTCATAGCAAGAGGTCGGGGAACCTGAAAAAATTAAATTTCCACACCAATCATAGAGTTGCATATGTACCCCAATATCAAAAATCAAAATACACTACAAGATCAAGTGTGGTCTTTGAAAATGCCTCTATAGCAACTCAATTTTTCCTATGCCACAGTTCAGATTTTATAAAAAATTTGCATTTTATTTGGGCAAAGCAATGGTGTGGTTCAAGGGAAGTTTTAGCTGAATAAAAAAAGTAGGGAAACTTCTTGATGTAAACTAGATAGAAAAACAGCATACATTTAGGGAAAACCAGCATCATTCAGGAATAGGTCATAAGAAATTAAACTGGATGGGGTATATCTGATCTTTGACTGTTTATTTCAGTCAGTTAGAAATTATCTCCAGTGCCTGATTCTGGAAAGGAAGAATGCATATGAGAAGAAAAAATACTCCTCATCCTGTGGACCAGCTGCACAAACCAGATCATCACCAGTAAATGTCTTAGGATGGAACCTTTAGGCCATAATCAACTTAGTAATTTTTCTTATAAGCAGTTCTGCCCCAATACAGATTTATATTTTCCAAATTTATATTTATACTGGTAAATTTATACGTGCTCAAAAATAACTGTCGTGTTCTGTGTCATCACAATGATAATCACTATACAGATAAAATCTATTTAAAATATATTTTAACTTAATGACAACACCAGTGTGGGGAAAGACAATTCAGGTGCATGCTTACTATCATTATAATGTTTAAACCAGTGACATAATTTACTTTTTTCTTGAGGCCTAGACCATGTCTCAATCACTCCTAACGCCTTTGCTCTTCAAACACTTTTTGCTTGACCATAACGCAATCCACAGGGGTATCACCTAAAATATACTCTATCACATTCAGGATAGAGCTTTTTTTTTCATCTTTTATTGCCTAGCAAAGGCTGAAATTGCATTTAAAGTTTTGCTGGCATAGCTATTGCTTGAATTACATCTGAAGTTTTGTTGGCAAAGCTATGAAAAGCTGTCTTATTAAAGGTCTAGGGTTTTTCTCCCCACTGAAGAGCTGTTTTAAATCCCAGTGGCAAAAAGACCTCTGCTGTTCATTCAGAGGTCGTTACTTTATAAAAATTTGTTGAGAGACTATAGTGGCAAACACATAACTTGTCAAAAGCACAGCATGCTAAAGTGGTATAAGTATTTTCTAATGTCACACAATTTTCAGTTGTTTTATGCATCGTTTTTTATCTCCATGGCCCAAGCCACGAGTCAAGACCATTAGGATCAACAGAAACATCTCCCTGACTTGAGGATCCTTAGTGCCAGCCCCCAAAGACCCCAGGTACCTGCCAGCGGGAGGACTCCCCCCCTTCCCCAAAGGAGCACCAGAGCTGGCAGGAAATCTCCCTCAGCAAAGCAGCCACTTACCCCATGGAGCTTCATGTAGAGGCCGCAGGCGTTGCAGACGGGCTCACCCTCCGCATTCCTGCGCCACAGGGTGGTGGTCGTGGTGTGGCAGTTGGCACAGGACAAGCCCAGCCGCCGCGACGAAGGCTGGAGGTAAGCACAGGCAAACGTGCATGAACAGGCAGGCAGGAGCACATGGTTTATGTCTTTATGGTTTATAAGAAGTACTTTAACACATGGTGGGGATGGTATGAGATTTTTTTTGTCATATCTATCAGCAACATCCCGGAATTAGGACAGAATTATCCTCATTTCAGAGAGTGGAAAGCTGATGTGAAGAGGTACTGAGAGTTTGCAACCCCAGGCAGTCACGGCAGAGGCACAATTCATATTTGGGAGCTGCTGACCCAGAGACCTGTGTTCAGACCTCCAGGCATTGGTTCTTCTTCTAGCAGGACAGCGAGGAAACATCTCCATTATAGCTCCATCCAGCTGAGGAGAAGGCACATCACTCCTGTGCCGCCTTTCCAGCCAGTTCAGTGCACTCTCCCCTGTGTGGTGGGTGAAGAGTCAGCTCTGATCCTGCCACTGATACTCCCAACTCATTGGAAAAAATCAGTCACTTTAATCACCTGCCTTCAGTGGCACTGCAGCTGGGAAAAACTTTCCTGGGCATCCGAGGGGTAACACGTACAACAGCATTATCTCTGTAAAAAGATCTTTTTATCATCACCCATTTTATCCTCACACAAAAAGCAATGTGCCTTGGGAGCGTGTTTTACAGAGCAGAGCTTCCCCTCAGCCAGCAGAAAAACTGGAGGGTGACAACAAGGTCCCCATGGCAAACAAGCCATTTATGACACTCTTCCGTGGAGTCTGGAGCCAAGATGAAGCAATCTTGTATCAGAAATAACCGTATAACCTAGAGCTTTATGGCCGCAGGCTGTATATTATAAGCGAAGGCAGTCCTCATAAACATGTGAAATGAAGGTGAATGGGTTATAAAAGTTCCTGTAACAAGTGATCTCTTTTACGTTCATCACAAGCAAAGAATTCCAGCTACATCATAAATCTAGTCTTTTTCAAAGTATCACATTGTCAAAAAAAATATAAAAAAATCTGTGTCTGGCAGCTGAACAAGTTTACATGGAGAAGTCAGTTTTAGAGGATTGCATTAATCTTATTCTGACTATAAAGCACCTATAACTGAAATTACTAACTTAAGGGTACAATGCCCTTCCTCTTGAATCATTTACTGCTGGGTTGTTAGATGTAACTGGGTCACCTTTGATACCGCAGATCTGCCTGCCACTTGGGAAACTGATAAAAATGTTTTGAGAATGAAGAATATTCCAGAGCAATAACTGAGTTTCTTTAACTTTATCTGTTTGAGTGTCTCTAGCAGTAAGCCACCATTTTACACCGCAGCTCCAAAAGAGCTCCAGATTAAATACAAATTTTGTAATCTTGAATCAGTAATCCATTATCAATCGCAGTGAAAAGAAAACAAACCACCCAGTCAAGTGTAATATAGGCTGAAGTACACACATATAGTTTTTAATCTTAAAAATCCAAGTCTCATGAAATTTTTGACCTCGCTATTAAATATGTATGCACACAGTGTTCAAATCACACCCTTGATTCAATATGAGTTTTATGTGCATCGAGTAAAAGAAAGCTGGTCTTAAACACGTATGCTTCATTTTCTTTCTTTGCTAGTGAAATGCTGTCAGATGTTTCACTCTGTTAAATCTTTCTCTTTCCTATGCAGCCTGGTATAAATCTTCATATATTTTATTTCAATAGCTTTAGCTTATTCTCGCATCTAAACAAACAGGGGAATTTTGGCATGTTTTGAAGCTAAAATGACTTTTCTGCTGCAGGAATTTTATCAGAAACTTCGGGGCAATCTAAACATATTTAGCGTTTTCAAAACATTTTCTCTTCTCACCTACATATTTCCACGGTTGATTTATAGTTATGGGCAGGGTACTCGGTAGGGATTGTTACGCAGAGCTATTTCAGAGTTATTTCGCTGAGGTGTCAGGCTGAAATCAGGCTGTAGTCTGACTCTGCTTTAGTCTCCTCACCCCCACCCCTCCTCCTCCTCCTCAAAAAAAAAAAAAAAAAAAGAAGAAGAAGAAGAAGAAACAGAGAAATGCTAGAGCCGAGTATCAGCTACTTGAAATCTGCCTTGGGCCAGGGTGCCACGGACAGTGGGGCTCTGATGAGTGAGACAATTAGCAGATCTGTTCCCTCCGCTGCTGCCTTTGTTGCCCGTGATAACACCTTGTGTCATGAAATTTACTGAACGACCAGACAGAAAAAACGGGCACCTAGCAGTAATTAACGTCTGGTTTAAAGTTAAATTAACTCTTTGGCTTAAAAAAAAAAAGGTCTTTAAGCAGGGGCGGTTTGAATCTCTAGCGCTTACTGTCTGCTCGGATCATCGTTCGTTTTGTTTCCCCTCGCTCCGGTAAGGACCCTAAATTCAAACGGTTGTGAAATAAAGAGCGGTAGACTTTGTAACACAAGGAATACAGTCAGGGAGCGAAGCAGCTGGCATGACTGAAAGGCGCTTGAAAAGCTGAGGGGTTTGATACACTGTCTCCATACACAGGGGTCCAAACATCAGCTTGGATTATACCGGCGTGATTTATTGTGGCTCGCTCGGTAACAGCCATTACTGAAGAGCATATTCTTTCTCGCTGCTGACCTCCACCCAGATTTGCTAAACATAATGTGCAGTTCCCGCTTGTTAAATTTTCTCCTTGCCTATTCAGTGCCAGCCTGAGTTATAAACAGGGGTTCTGGTTTGTACTATTTATTTCCCCCCCTAGTTTTATGAGGATATTTTTAGAAAAATTGTCGCTCATTTCTTAGGACTAAAACAAAACAAAGGCTATTATCATTGTTTAAACAATTGGTTTTCTTTGAATTATATACAAAACTTGCTTACATTCCCAAGGATCGAGCTGTCAGCAAACAAAGCAGGTCTGGAGAAATTCCTAGCCCTCTGAACAAACACTTTCCAACCTTGATTTTTTTTTTTTTTTTTGGAAATGCCCAACATCACCAGCACAAATTTCTTCCAAGTCACTGAAGCCCCCCTCACTGATGGGGTTCATAGCTCAAAAAAAGCCAGGCTGGCCCATGCCCCGTGTGCAGTTCCCTGGGGAGGCAGAGGGCGATTTCGCCAGCACGAGGCCTGAAGGTGGGTCCGAAGCGGTTCCCAGAGGGCGGCCAGCCCTTTTGCTCCTCATCGTGACTACTTTAGCGTGCAAAACTGGTCAGGAGCCCCACTCGGTTTTGAAGCTGGGGAGACCACCAGGCTAACACACTCTGATTGCTCTCCCACATCCTTGCCCCCCGTTTCTCCCTGGCTAGTGCTCACTGGGGGTTCCTTGGGGCCCAGCTCCTCTCGCCCACCTCCTCCCCTCCCTCCCCACTCACCACTCTCTTTTGGGGCTTGATGAGGGGTCGGCTGAGGCCGTTCATTTTGGTGTAGAGCCCGCAGGCGTTGCACAGGTAGTTGCCGGTGCCATCTCTCCTCCACAGCGGGGTCTGGATGGATCCGCAGTTGACGCACTCCCGGCTCTCGGACAGGTCCTCCAGCAGCTCTGGGAGGCAGAAGGGAGAGGCGGTGGGGCACGGTCGCAGGCGGGCACGGAGCCCAGCGGAGCACCGCGTAGCGCGGCGCCGAAGGACTGGCCCCGTGCGAGCAAGCAACCGGCGCTGTTCAGCCCTCGGAAAAGTAATTCCCCGGCAGCGACGGCGAATACGAGGTGATTTTTTACAAAATCCATCCCCTTTTTCCCCCTTTTTCTTTTTTTTTTTTTTTCCTTCTTTTTTTTTAAATTTACCGACCCCGGCGCAGCCTTTGCTTTCCAAACCCCCAGCGGAATCGGTGCGCCCCGGGACGGGTTGGGGGACACCGGCCCGCCGGAGCGGTCACTCCAGGCCCGCCTTGCACTCACGTCGGGATTTGGCCCTTGGGAAAGCCGGCCGGGGTCCGCGAAACCCCCGCCGTGGTGCCCACCGCGTGGAAAGGGAGGTGCGCTTGGCTTTTGAGGGGAGCAGAGAGGGGAGTTAGATGCCTGCCAGAATATCCAGTTGCAGAGCCACCCTGGGAGCCGGATATAAGGAGTGGTCGTTTTGCCCAGTATTCCCCATGGTCGAAGTTGGGCAAGAACTTTTTTACCCCGACTCTTATTTTAAATGCCTCGCAACTAGTAAAGCTTTAAGTTTAGAGGTAGAGTTTGAGGCTCTGGTGTGCCAAGGCAGCGACGGGCAGCGACCACTTTGCCTCGGCTATTTGGTCAAATTCGAGTGAGATGGTAGGAAACGGAGGAAATGGAAAAATACGCGGTATTCTGCCTCCTGCTTTCATAGTTACTGAACACTGAGAGGAAAATAAGGTCTAAATGCACGGGGAAAAAAAAAAAAGAGAGAATCCACCTATAAAAGCTGACACCTTCACCTCTGCGAATCCCTGTTCTGATTCAACTCCCCATATTTCAGGGAGGGGAGGGAGGAATAAACACGGTTTTTACATGGACGGTGCCACGTTGTGTAGAAATAAAAAAAAGGAGATGTTTTTTCGATTTCTACAGCAGCTTTCGAGTCGAAGCTGGGAATGTCTGTTTCAGACTCAAGAGCTTCATCACTGATTGCTTTTTCTTTTTTTTTTTTCTCCCTCCGCTACCTGCTTTAATTCATCATTGGTTTATTCTTTTACGTTTCGCCGTATAGCGAAAAAGTGCTTATAAACCTCGAGCAGCTCTGGACACAGGGCTGAGGTGCCACGGCGGGCATTCAGCTGGGAAAGAAGCGCCTTTTGGCCCGCACCCACCCAAATACTTTTCTCTCCTCTCTTCGTTTGCAAATTATTAGGCGCTAAAGAGGAACAGGCACACGGCACAGTGCAGAGAGCACAGTTCAACTGACACTGTCAGCGTGTAGCTCTTAGCACATCGCTAAGATTAATAAATCTTTGCACTAAAAGCGCCATAGAAGACTAATCAGGAAAATGCTTAAGGCTTCGAGGACGCTGGAAGTTAAACAGTTATTTTTCTCAGCTATTTACTTTATAACATTGCCTTCGTGCCTCCAGAAACAAATTCTGCAGTGACAATAATTCTCGGGCATTTAAAAAAAATTTTTCTCTTACCACGTAATACATTTATCTTCAAAGAAAACAAAATAAAGTTCTAATGTTAGATACTGTTTTAATATCTCTACGAATAACATTAAACAAGCTTTGTCAAACTGTCTAATAGTTAGCCCTAAAAAATATATTTCCTCTACAATTTCCCTGACAATTTTCCTATAATTTTGAAAAGGGAGTACGCGTGGCTTCGGCTTTGCTGGCGCGTTTTGCACTGTAGGACCAGAAAACTAGCGTGGCCCAGAAACTGCGGACTGCTTTGCCCCGCGTTACACCGCGATGCGGCTCCACTGACACCCGTTCTTTCCCTCATCGAAAAATTGGCTAGCTCGTGCCCCACTGGTTCCCAGCACTGGGGAACAAGGGCAGGAGAGAGACCCCCGGGACCAGGGGAAGCTGGCGTGTTCCTCCTCGGCTGGCTTGGCACTCCTGCCGCAACCTCCTCCAGCGCCCGCCTCCTTCCCTTCTCTGCTCCTTCTTACTCATCCTTCTCTCTCTTCCGCGAGATTCTCCAACCCCACGTCTCTCCCGGAAAAAGAAAAACAACAACAAAAAACCTAACAACGAAAACCCCAACAGATTTATTTTTCCTTCATCGTCTAGTTTTATAACTTTTGGAAACTGAGTTAAGAACTCAACTTCCGTGTCACCCCGAGACCCGGCTTTTCTTAGCACCACTATTTCTCTCTGTTATGTTATTAAACACCAAGTGGGAAGCTTAAAATGCTTAAATCTACCGGGTACCATCGAGAGAAGGGACGAGCATCAAGTATACCCCTACAGAAAGATAAAAAGCCATGGGATAATTATCCACAACACTACACTGAAAGAAAATCACGGTGTGTATAAAATATACCCACCTGGTGGGTAGTTTACGATTAAAGTGAGTGCTGATCAAATCTGTGTATGCGCGTGTGTATGCACACACACATATATATAAAAACATATACATAATTTATATACATAATATATAAAAATATGCATAAATACCCACACACACCTCTCTATACACCTTTATTTATACATACATATATATATTCTAAAGCTAAAGAAACTGCAATAATCGTTAATCTTTCTACCTCTGACTAAATCATTGCAGCTCAGCCTCCACTTCTACAATTAATTTAATGAAGAACTTCCAAGTTCCAAGAACTTCCCACACTAAAACAAAAAATAAGAACGGGACACCTCGGAAACGAAAGCAGAACCCCATCAGGAGGTGTTGTATTTAACAGCAGTTTATAAATGAGATTTCCTAGTTCATATCCGAGGTTTTGCTTTGTTGCTTTTCTCTTTTAACGAAGCAGTGTTTTGTAGTTGAAATAATCCAAAATGGGTTAAGGGAGCCCTAGCAATTTTCGTTTACGCTACAAGAAAAACAAATTTGCAGTGAATTTGTCACCATTTCTCGGCCAGATAACCACACATAGGAAAAGGAGGAACACAAGGGTTTGGAAAAATTAAAAACTAGGTTTAAACCGGGCAATTCCTTTCGGGATCTCTGGGTTTGTAACCCCGATCGCCGTAGTCCAAACAACGCCGTTTTGGGGGGCTGTGTTCCCTCCTAATCCAACACAAACGACGAGAGCTACCTTCACTCCAAAAAGCCATGGTGTCGGGATTGTCATCCTGCCACAGGCACCAGGGCCGCCCCACGCCGTCCCACCTTGCCAGCGAACCCCGCGCATTCCGGCACCCCCGTGGCACCTCCAGCGGGCAGCCCTGGCATGCGGCGACCCTCCCTGCCCTACCCTACCCCGCCCCGCCCTTGCCCGCGCCCCCGGCGACGGGTCCTACCTGCGCTGGGTGCCCGGACGGGGATGGGGGCGGCCCGGCCCTGGAGGCAGTGCAGCATGGAGTTCTCGAAGGGCGCCGTGGGCCAGGCGGGGGTGAGCTGCGGCCCCACGTAGGACGTGTAGGGCCCCGGGTAGGAGCCATTGAGCGGTCGGGCCAGGGGGCTGTACTGGTCCCTGGCGCCCAGGCTGTTGCTGTAGGCACCGGGCTCCCGGGAGGCCCCGTTGGCCACCGGCGGGCTGGGCGAATAGGGGAAGCGGCCCGAGGGGTGGGAGCCGCCGCCGGTGCTGTACGAGGGGCTTTCCGCGGCTGGCTGGGACCAGACGGCGTGGCCGCCGCCCGGGTGGCTGGGCTGGGCCGCCCCGCTGCCTTGCAGGTACGGCAGCGTGGGCAGCATGGAGCCCACGCGGGTCGTGGGCACGTACACGGGCGAGCTGGGCGTGGAGTGCATGAAGCCTCCCGGAGATCCGTCGTAAGGCGTGGGGCCCTGGGCGGCCGAGATGGCGAGGGTCTGGTACATCTCCTCGGGTTGCTCGGCGCCGAGGGCGCTCAGCTTGGGGCCGCGGCTGGACCAGATCAGCTTGTTGGTTTGGTCTAAGTCCGCGAAGAGCAGAATGTCCTCCCAGCTGAACCGGCCGGAGGGGTGGGGGGCCCCGAAGTGCACGTAGGGGGCGAGCAGAGACCTGCCTTCGGCGGCGGAGGGCGGCGGCGGGGCCGGCCGGTGACTGTCGTCGGTCTCCGGCCGAGGAGTCTTGGAGGAGCCGCGTTCACCCTGGGAGCCGGAGGAGGACGAGGAGGAGGGGGGCGAAGGAGGAGACTGGTGCGGCTCCCTGGTGGCGAAGGGGCAGGAGGGAACACCGGCGTCCGCAGCGCACCGCTTCACCGCGCACCAGCCGCCTTCAGCCACGGCCATCCAGGTCCCCTTCTAGCCGCTGGGTGTGGATGGGATGGGGAAAGGGGAGGAGGGGAGGAGGAGGAGTGGAGATGGGGGTCCGCAGGGCAGGGCGGGGAAGGAGGACACAGAATAGCAGGGAAGGGGGGGAGAGAGAAACAATAATAACTAAGTTTGCAAACAGGACAGCCCGTCTCCCTCCCGTAATGAGATTCATCAGGGCTTATCTGGACCCTCTGAACGCTTAATCAGTCATGTCGCCTCGGCGCTGTTGTCCCTCCCCCCGGAGGTATGGGATCAGGCAGACCAGGTCAACACGGGCCGGGAGTCGCCAGTCCCGCAGGGCCAGGGTTGCGGCTTCGACGCCGCTCCCCGCGCTGCGGGCGGGCTGCTCCCTTCCCCTTTCGCATCCCGGGCTGCGGATTTGAACATGAAGCACGCCGGGGAGAGGTGGGCGGGAGGGCGTGGGGAGAGAGGGGGGCGAGGGACATTTTTCCCTGTCTGTGCCGCAGCCCCTTCCTTGGCTGCTGTCGTTGTTATGATTATTTCAATGAATGAGTCATTTGACTCGGTTCCACCGAGAAAACAATTAGTAAGGCGATCCCTTTAAGGTTACTTCTCCGGAGAGCAATGTTAGCTTTTCCGCGCATCGCCTCGCTTGTTTGCTTATTTCCAGCCCAAGGTCACGGAAAGGAGGAGAAGGAGGAGGCAAAGGCACCCCTGAGACGGGAGATGCGCACGGCCAGGCGCCGAAGTGTGCGCGGCGACGACGGGACACGGACCGGGGCAGGGGCCGGGCCGGGTGGGATGTGCCTGCCGCGGAGGCTGGTGCCAGCGGACAGTCCTGGCTGAGGGCCTGCCTCCAGTCCGAGCGCAACTCTCGGGGCTGACACCCGTCCCGAGTCGACTGGTCTCAGTTCGGAGCCGTCGGCATGAGAGAGGCTGGACAGACAGATGGACACAGAGCGGCCGGTGCCCAGCCTCAGGGAGAAGGGGCAGAAAGTGAAAGGGGACGCGGAGAAGTGACAGCAAGAGAAGCGGGCGGTGAGGCTCTCCGCTCTCAGCCCACCTCGGGGCTCTTCAGATAGCCAGAGGCACAAGAATACAGGACACACACAGAGCCACAGGCAGACAGTCACCAAATACGTCTCTCCCTCCTGCGAGGTAACTGGGAGATAAGGCTCCGGCAGATAAGGGCTCCAGGCACCGGCATCGGATATTTGCCCACAGAGCTCCCCCAGGGCTCCCCCAGCAAGGCACAGCCGCCGCTGCGCCGCGCTGCCCTCAGAGTGGCCGAGGGCGGAGAGGCAGGAGCAGAAGAGCGAGGAAGAACAAGGGAAATCGCGGCGAGGCAAGAAAAGAGAAGGGGGCCAAACCTGGTGCCGATGCCCCGCATGGGGCCGGGGCGCGGGGCCGCGGCGGGCGGTAAATCCAGTGCGGCGGGCGTGAGCGGCGGCGGCGAGTCCGGCGGTGGCGGCCGCCGGTTCATGTATAAAAAGGAGAGAGGAGGCGCCTCTCGCAGCCCTGCCGGAAAACTGCAAGCAGCCGGCCCTGATTGGGCTCGGCCAGCCCTAAACAAACACGGGACTCCGCAGGGGTGCCAGTCCCGGCGGCCAGCCGGCCCGCCGCGCCGCAGTCCCGGGGGTGGGGTGCCCGCAGCTACAGGGCTACGGACCCCTCCTTGGGGAGCGGGAAGGAGCAGAGAGGGGACTGCCCTCCCAGATGCCACAGTCTTTTATCTTCCTGTCATTGTTTCAAACCATGACATTTCCTTTTTTTTTTTTACCCAGAAATAATACACACTCTTCCCTCCTCCCCGGATAATATCTTCTTTATGGTGAATATTCAGCGTTTTGTTTGGTTTTTTTTTTTTTTCTTCACACCTCTCGGCATCGCAGCGAGCATCCCCTGGCAGCGGCCCGGAAGGATGTGTGCTTGGCTCTCGCCCTAAGCAACCAGGTTTCCCTCTCCCAAATCTCCCTGTTTTTACTCCTTAAAATAAGAGCTATCCGAGGGTAAAAAATGTGGCTCCTCCTTGAGTTGCCCCAACCGTCAGGTGAAGCCAAAGCAAGCTGTGGGATGTGTCCATCCCAACAGCTGGCGGTAGGCATTTTCCCTCCGTTTCTTTCTTATCCCCCCCCCCCCCCCCAGCCCTCTTATCTCAGCTGTGTACAAACTGATATGGTACTTAGCAGGAAAGTGACTGGAAATTAAAATAACTTCGTTCACCAGAGGTTATCAGTTGGATATCTGTCATCATCAGTTTGTACAGAAAGAGTCATCGGCGGCTAAAGGCTGAACTAGAGCAGAGCCCGGCTCTCGGCAGCCGGCAGGCATGAGCCCTCCCGACAGAAACCGAGCCCAAACCTGCTGATGCGCGGTGCTGTCGTTCCTGGGGTAGGCACAGCTTTTCTTTCGGTCTTTCCAGGCAAGGTGAAGGGGAGGTGAAGAATTTGCAGTGCTGGGGGTACGGCAAAACTCTGGCTGTAGCCATCCGGTCTGCCGGCGTGGGTGAACCGATTGTGACTTGGAAGTTTTATTATGCGCGTTAATTTTTGTCGTATAGCACGGCAGACGTTTGGTCGGAAAACAATCAATTTCTCGATAAACTGTTTCTCTATTAAATTGTACGATTAAAGGTTATACTTCTTTCTTGTCAGTTGTCTCTAAATAATATCCTTAAATAACATCAGTCACCCTGCCAGGTTGAAGTGATTTCTTTTTATTTTTAGGTGTATTTTAGTGGGTTCAACATTAAATAGAAAACAAGCTTTTGCAATCGTGGGCAGGGATTCGTTGTCTGCCAGCGCCCAGCTCGTTTTCCGATCCCAACTTGCAACGTAAAATATTTTCCCATGGTTTTTACCTGCAAATGTGCAACAAGAGCAGGAGAAGACGCGGGAATCGATGCCCGTGCCACTTCTTCCCAGCTTGGGTGCTGCCACTGCAAACCTGTGTGCTGAAAAGCGCCGAGCTATCGGCTTTAAACCCTACATTTCCTTTCAGTCATTTGGATACCTCTTTTCCATTTAAACTCGAGAGTATTTCAAACACGTGTAAGGGTGCATATAATGCGAGAAATACCGTGAGGGTTTTTTTCAAGCCAGCGGCACATGCCGGTGCCCATGTAACACCAGGGTGGGGAGTGGGAACCTGCCCGGGGGTGTCTGCCCGAAAGTTGATGGTGGCTGTGAAGAAGAACGGCCGCGCTGGCCAGGCAGGCGCCTCTTTCCCTGACTCCAAAGTGACCCGTGTTTTACACTTCAGGCGCCTTGGGTTTTTTTCTCTTTTTTCTTTTTCCTTTTTTTTTTACTGCCGATTAGCCTGTTTACCTTATAGCCGGGCTACAAGTTTCATTTTATTTCCTCCGACAGATACGATAAGAAAACCCGGTTTAAACTGGGACCAGCGTGGGAAACCGTTTTCAGTCACCCCTTTCCTCTCCGTTTCGGGTTTGCTCTCGAACCGCTCAAATATAGTCTCTGGTTCCTAACTCTTCGTTACGTCACTCCTTTCCCAAATCCCACTCTTCTGACGTAACTTTCGCCCCGGAGCTCCGGGAGGCTCTCAGGTATGTCCTGCCCCGGGCCTGGATAAGGCACCCGGGGGTGCATGTGCGGGAGCATTTTTGCGGCCGGGGGGATGCTCACTGTGGGAAGACACCGCTGGGGAGGTGGTGCCAGTAAGGTAACCGTCGCTCCTGATCGCTGTGGCCAAAGAGGGAAGAAGGCAGTTTGGGGGAAAAAAAAGAGAGCTTCGTATCCAATTAAGGCAAATTCCCTCGTGGGCACTTCAGCCTCCCAAAAAAGGGTTGGGGGACAGACATGTGCAAGTGCAGAGCAGTTGCTCCTTCCCCCACTCCTGGGTCTCTGCAAACGTGATCCCTTTGCAGGGATGCACTAGGGAGGAGGGGCAGGCTCGGTCCGGCCGCATCTCCGCCGCCCCGGGAGCAGCGGGCATCGCCCGCCGTGTCAGGCCGCGATGCTCCCGCGGTGCTGCGGCCGCGGGGGGCCGGCGGGTTCGGGTGTGAGGCGGTACGAGGGGTCACCTCGGTGACTATCGCAGGTTGGAGTGTGTTCTTTTCCGAGACGTGTTTATGTAACTTAATGTACTTTAGAAACTGCTGGGGAGTTCAGGCCGTGCTGATAAGCGCAGCGGTTATTACGGGCGACGTGCCGGCACCTCTCCGCCTCTCTTCTCCCCTTCGCTTATCCGCACTACTTAAAATATACTTTTATCAAGGCCACCCCACGATACGGAGTGTTTCCATCCCGCAGCCGCTGTGACATTGAAGCGGACTTATCGATCGGGGCACCGGCAGCGCTCAGGCGCGCCCAGGTCAGCGGGGAGCTGCCGGCCGGCCGGCTCCGAGCAGGGCTCTCGCTCCCGCCGCAGGCACCGCGGCTGAAGCCGGCGGGGCAATCCGCATCCACCGGGAAAGAGGCATTTCAGAGGGATAGGGGCCTTTGACATCACCCATCACCTCCACCTCGGGCCGGGCGGGACAGCCCTATGGAGCTCAGGGTAGTGGTTAATCAAATTGACCTCCAAAGCAGCAGTGTCCTGTACACAGCACAGTAAGGACGGGGGCGGGCATAGCGAACGTGCCCTTTGCAATAGACCAGATGTGTCCCGTGGGGAAGGGGGACCCCTGAATTCTCAAGGGTGAGGAGGGATTCTTTTTACTTTCTCCGAAACTCCTAGCGAAGGGCTGCCAGGTGCTGACAGGCCGGGCTTGAGCTCCGGCCCTTTTTGCTGTACGCAGATAGCAGACTCCGGGCCCCGCGGCTGCCCCGGCCCTGGACAGGACACCCTGACCAGGCTCCGAGGATCATTGCCCGCTCCTGCCCGGTGGTTCGGCTCTCCCCTGTGTTGAAGTCGTGCCCAGCGGTGGGGAGTGGGGCAGAAGGTTACTCCCCACTGCAGTAAGCAGCCTCCCCGTCACTTGTGACCTTCTGCCGCGTGCTTTTGGGTGTCTTTCAACCCTTGACGCTCAAATAAGCATCAGGCAGCAGAGAGCCCACATGGACATTTATGCAATAGGTGTCCAAGCGTGTGGGTTTTGCGGTTTGTTTTGGTTTTTTTGTTTGGTTGGTTGGTTTTGTTGTTGTTTTTGGGGGGTTGGGGGAGTTGTTGTTAGTTTTTTTGTGTGTGTTGGTTTTTGGGTTTGTTTTTTTGTTGTTGTTGGTTTTGGGGGGTTGTTGGGGTTTTTTGTGTGTGTGTGTGTTTGTTTGGTTTTTTTTTAATAATGATCTACAGCTTCTTTTTATTTGCCTGTCCTCCAGTATCCGAGGTCCGGCTGGTTAATGATTTCAACCTTTAAAAAAAAAAAAAAAAGAGAGAGATATTAAAATCAACAAAACTTGCGGAGGAGGCTCCTGTTGCTGCGTAACCTGACTCCTAGAGCCCGCGATCCGCAGTATCCGCACGCTGAGCCCCACTGGGGCGCACAGGACGAAGGCGATGCCCTCCAGCTCTCGAGGTCACTGGGAGGCAGACCCACGCAGCACCCTAAAAAACATAGTTATGACTTAGATGCTTCTGTCCAATGGGCGCATATGCGCTTTATCTCTTTCCAAACTCATACACGGGGACTTTGAAAATGAGTTAAGGATTAGTTGTACTGTTTCTCGGCAGTTTTAAAGGTTTTTAAGGGTCGGTGACTAAAATAGTCTAATTTTGACTCTTTTATCAACGGGCACCTCCATGCCCTTACTACGAAGCATTGGGCCTGTGT